ATATCAAAAACAGATCATAAGACTACACTAAGTGTCCTGTGCGAGCTTAAGTTCAAATAGCGGAACTACTTACATACAAGCCTGGCATTTATCAACTCCTTATTTCGGTATTTGCATAATGCATCGGCTTATATGTATTATATAATCTTGACTTAACTTCGCCAGACTTGATAGTTGAGTTATGGGATATTATTATTAATGTTTCATCCCTTCAGCATATTTAGCTCTTATCTGCTAATTACACTGTTAAATAGTTACATAGTTATGTATACTCTGTATGTCAATACCCAAAATTGTTTTAACAATTATACAAAAATTGTTCTGCCTTAAAATTTTTCTCTAAATTGCGGTATAACCAATTCTTCTCATTCCCAGATCTTTTCGATCCGTTATTAGATTACATATATACTTTTTTCAGCTGTATCGCTTCTGGGTAATTTTGACTTCTATTTTTAAATTAGGAATAAGAACTCGTTTTATTTTTCCATACAGCGAGCGCCGCTACAAAAATATATTTTATGTATGTACATATATATGTATGTCTAAATTATTTACATGTTGTTTAATTATTTTTAATCGGTTTTGGGTTTACAACAAAATACGTGTTACTTAACATTTTAGACTTTTTTTTTCAACTTATAAATGAACGGGTTGTTAATCATTACTTTATTACATCTGATTTTTTTTGAATATCTAAATTTTAATCTTGTTTTCAATTTCTCAGACCGCCGCGGTTAACAGGTCTACAAATAATAAGTTATTTCCTAATCAGTTAATATCTTTTGTAATTGCCAAGAAATAATTCCATTATACATATTTTGCCCTTAAATAATAGTCATTTCTATTTGGATGTTGTATAAACAGAAATTTATTTCATTGTGAAGGGAATGAGATCATCATCGAAGTAGTACGATATATATTTAAAGTTCAGTATGCTGACTTTTTATAAGCAATTTAATCTAAAGTTCGCTGAAAAGTTTTTAGAATAAAACAAAATAATAATGACTTACTACATTCATCAGTGCAAGAGTTATATTGCCAGTACACATCAAATCCATATTAGGGATATCTATCAGGTTACAATTATAAGATTAGACATTACCAGCATAAAGTGATTTTCTATCAGAAAGCAATGGCAATTCTCCGACCATATTTTTGGCATCAAAAAGCTACTAAAACTACCATTAGCTGCTTGGAGAAGGAAAGCAGTAGAAGGTCGACATTTGGCCGACTTGAGAGAGAGAGCTCCAATATTATTCTGGATTTTCAAGGAATTGAACTAAAAATTTATTAAAAACTGGAATCTTTAAAAGGAAACTTTTTTATAAGGTGGCCTTTTAAAATCATCTTACTCCCAGAAGTATTTAATTCGGCGGGTTTTATGAGTTTTTCCTTATTGCTATTTACATACTATTAAAGTATGTGTTTTATAATGATTAACAAGGATTATATTCATTCATCTTAAGTTCATCTCCTAATAAATTCAAAATTAATTATTGTTCACTTGACATAGAGCTACATATGAATCATATCAAATTTACAAATCGCTTTGGCAATGTTACTGTAATTTATTGCATTTATAAGAATATAAGAATGAATTTAAAATAATGTTGAAATGTTGCCACAACCATGACCTGTTTCTTATGTGAATTTCCTTAACTTTTTTTGACATTACAATTAAACCAACATTCCTCTGAAGATTAGAAAATATTGTAGCTCGTAATGTACTACCACTACCACTGCCTCCATTTAAGTTTATACCCAACACGGGACTTCTTGTTTTATTATTGAAAATTTCAAAAACAACTATCAGTGTTGCTTGTCATTGATTTACAATAGATTAATATTAGCCATTTTTTACAATGTTGCCAACAAAAATACAGCTAACTCTGTAAAATTTTGAGGATTCAATTTTAGTTAGGGACGGAATACCTTCATTAACTCCTGAATTAATCCGGAGTTAATCTCGCTAACGTCTGTCAATGCTAACACAAGTTTGACGGAAGTCATGTTCAGCGCGTAATGAAGAAAATGTGTTGCCTACGTTCAGTTTGAATTACCGAATACTGTAACGAGCCGATATAAGCATTGAAAATTTTTTAGACCATTTTAAGCTATAACAAATTTACTTTTGACGAATATTATAGCTTCGGTGCGGTTGTACATATCATCATCACAAAGCAAGATAGATGAAGGGTTATGTATATAAATGTTCGAAATGACAATAAATGTAGAAATCCGGCTTACTATCTGTCTTTTCGTCCGTCCGTGCAAGCTGTAAATTGAGAAATCTCGATTAAACTTGCTTTGTGGGTTCCTAGTTGCAAAAAAATTTCGAGTTCGTAGATGGGCATAATCGGAAGACTGCCATGCCCACAAATCGCCACTAACCGAAGCATATACAGGGGTGCTGTGGAATTCAAGAATTTTGTCTTGGCTTAGCTGTCAGAATTGCAAACCAATTCTGATTTTCAATCATGTCACAGAATCTGATTGGATTTTCGTCTTTTCCAACATACGGAAAACCAATATTCGAACCAGCTTTTTACAAATGTGACAAAACTTGCAAATGGATACATTTGGAAGCAATCCTATTCAAGTTTTTAGTAAGTTTCGAATTAAAGGAAGATTTTAAGAGATAAAATTTATCGAATGAATAAAGACTTATTTGGTTGTTAATTTACGTTTTGCAAATCAAATATCTTTTAATAGCCGGGTTTTTTTCCAAAAACTCAATAATGAAGACATATCGTGTTACACTTATGCTTTCCCCTATAGAAATAAAGATAAATTAATACGAAATAATAAAATAACTTGATTTCTTAACTTACATTTCAAATCTGTTTGCGACTATCTTCTTGATTTGTTTCTGACAGCAAAGCCGATAAAATTGGTTTCCGTGACACCCAAAACCGATACAAATTCTGTTTCGAATATCAAACCAATAATATCTGAATTTATGACACCTACTACTTTTTTTGATCGGTTTCAATTCTGATTCCGACAACTATCAGATTCCACAACACCCCTGATAAAGGGCCATAAATAAGCATTAAATTAGGATATATAGCTGTAATTTGGTACAGAGGATTGCAGTAGCAAGGTCATCTGTGGGCAATTATTATTTTTTTTTTTTGAAGAAGGGGGCGCTCCCCGCTCTCAAACAAGTTGAATATACATATGCAAATCTTAAAAGCACTTCTACCAACAGTGTGAAAATTGATAAAAAGGATAACCCCACTCACTCCCTATATAGCGGTACAGTTAAATATTAGGTTGTTAAAAAAGTGTTGCGGTATATTCGCTAGTTGGCGCTGAGAGCGTGTAGTTCTAGTTTTATTCGTCGGAACGGGTCATGCTATACCTTTTTGGAAAGCTCATTTCACGCGCTAACGCGTATTTGATTGATTGTCGTTTCTTTTAAGTCGTTCGTGTGTTACAGCGTTGCAAACATGGAGCAAAATAAAGAGAAAATATGGCATATTACTACATGGCATATATACAGTACTACTACGATAAAGGCAAAAATGCATCTCAAGCCGCCAATAAAATTTGTGCAGTTTATGGACCCAATACAGTTTCCATTTCCTCCGCACAACGATGGTTTCAACGTTTCCGTTCTGGTGTAGAGGTGGTCGAATATGCGCCACGCTCCGGAAGGCCTGTCGTCGAAAATTGCGATAAAATCGCTGAATTGGTCGAAAGAGTCCGGCATAGTAGCAGCCGTTGCATCGGTCAAAAAAAAAATTGTATGAACAATTGAAAATTCAATAAAAATACCGCAAGACTTTTTTTGACAGCCATACTACTATAAGCTCTATAAATCAATAACTAAATACTCCAGAAATTAAATTTTACCACCGAGACGGTATGAAAGAGCTTCATGAGAGCGTGTGTGAAACTTGCACGGTGGGCGTAGCACCGCCCACTTTTTGGTGAAAATATATCTGAACCCGGTCAACCCTTTCGACAACATCACACATCACATTGTGAAAATGGACGATATCGGACAACAATCAAGTCTACTTCTAATATATCAAAATTTTAAATTCCAATCGATTCTTTCAATTACGAGAGAGAGAATAACGAGATAAAACTTTGCACGAATAATTTCTTTAGTTTGTGCCACATTTTGAACAAAAATTGTTTAAATCCAATAAAAACTGTTCAAGCCCTTAGGAACCGAATATGTGCACCCCGATACCTAGAGTTGAGTTTTGATCGAAAATGCCAGTCAATGTGTGAGATATATACCTGAAAGTAGGTATGTCACAAATTAGTTGAATCGGACCAATACTTCTCTTAGCTCCCATATATTTAATATAACGACTTTCGAATTTCCGGCTGACTTTGTACCGCATATATCGGCCAATATGTAAGTTATAGCACTGAAGATATTATAGCGTGTTTTAATCATAACAGTGTATATTTTTGCCTAAAATAGATAAATTTGAGCGAAAACTTGGCCTAAACCCTGTGTAACTAATATCAGGAGTTTCGAAGATCCGGATGACTTTACTTTATATGAATGGTTTTGCACCTTAAAGTATTTCCCTGGTTTCGATTCTTGTAAGTCGCAAGATTATAAGATTTTCGGTTGCACCCGAACTTATCCCCCCTTTACTTGTGTTTTTTTTTTTTGGAAATATTACGTCTCCTTTATATATGACTTTCAAATTAGCGGTGTCCTAACTGAAACTAGTCATTCCTTATTTCCTGCAAAAAACTTTGAGATAAATACAACAATCTTCGTTCAGATAAATCTTTAATCAAGATAATGATTTAACAATTACGTAATACATACATACATTTTAACCGCGCTCATGAACGCCAACAACAACTTCATTGAAGCAACGTTACACAAATTAATTTAGAAAATACAATAGTGGTAATGTGAATTCAGTTAGATAAATATACATAAATATTTTTATTTTAATTCACTATGAAACGATATATAAAGAAATATGTATATATATATTTACTAAGTATTTAGGTATGTATATAAAAATATTTACTTAATAAATTTTCGTATCAAATAGTTTGCGTATATAAAAATTTCAAGCTACAATTATCATTATCAAAGGTTTCTCTAACAGTTTTATTTTTTGCACAAGACTGTGCACCAATAAATTATACTCGTACATAGTTAACATACATACTATAATTCTAGACACAATCACCTTCATTATTCACGCGCACATTACATTCAACTACAGTACAGTTATTCGTCTCGTAAAAAGGCCCTACACTAGGAAAATGCAACATGTTTGCCTATTCACATTCAGCGGAGTACTTTTTTTTTAAAGCTTTGACTTAACCTGAGGAATAATAATATCTTTCCACCAAGAGGGCCTCTCAAATGCACCCCTATTGGTCATAAATTCACTTTGTAAATTGTCGTACAAAAGCCCGTCGGATTTGGCGATAACCGAGTTAAGTGCGAAATCAGGCGGCGCCAAAGCGTCTGCTACCGATACTGCTGAATCCTTCAGTTCGCTACATTTTGCAAGCAAGCGTGCACGTATCGTTTCGGCAAACAAAGCTGACTTTGCAAATCCGCCCACATAGAAGGTGGTCATGTGCCGGTCAATACACCACATTGAATAGATGGCGAAAAGCAGTTCCAGTATTTGCGACAGCTCGGTGTTCACTTCCAGACGGCGGAATCGTTCACGAAAACGACTTAGAGCGAAATATTCCGCATAGGCCAATGACAAATCGCGAGCACCATACACCTGGGAGTTATTGCGAGCATCAAAACGATGCGCTCCCGATTTTATGTCTTGAGCCATATGATTCGCTGTTTTCTCGAGTAGATAACACAACATCCACTCGTAGCATTGCAAAACGACTAGAAACACAAAATTGTTACTATTAAATATCTGCTTAAATATAACTTATATCATACAACTCACAATCCATAGATTCAATTGACGATTCCCGGGCCACCTTTTCGTAGGTGTATTGCAAAATATCACCACGATTTTTCAAAAAATTTGCAGTGCCTACTGGACTTTCAASTGTGCTATTCCATTGTCGCAGAAGCCAATTGGAGGCTTGCTGTCCGAGCACATTATTGTCGCCTTCGTAGGTGACACTTGGGTCGTGATCATTGCGCAGATCGCCCAGTTTGGAAGCTTTTAAAAAACCATGACCGCCGCAAGCTTCTCTCGCTTCTTGAATAGCATCTCTCGCGGTCCATGTAAGTAGGGGTTTCGATGAAGAGATGACTGCATGAATTTCGGACACAATTTGGGTCTGTAAGAAAAGAAAAGACGGGGAAATGTAAAATTGGATGTAATCGTACGTATTATAGGGTACCATGTCGGATCCTAAAATCGACTCTCCTCGGATAACGTAGTAACTTTTCATTATATTTAATAGCCATAAATACTAGGTAAGGCTAGCGATGGAATACTTTTTTGATTGGACAAAACTAAATTTATCAACTTCATTTCTTTCAACATTGAAAGGTTACAAATTTAAAAGGTGTTGAATTCATGGAGCCTATGCTTATTGTAATTTAATTCTTACCAGAACTTATGAGCGCAGATTATAAGAGATTTTTAGTGTAATATGAATTCATAGTAAATTAAATAAAAGTCACCAATGTGCAAATCTCATTTTTAGACTTACCAACAGCTCAAATCCATTAGAGTCCTTTTGAGACCTTTCAATAATGCTAAGGTAAATTTCTGTCAGCTCAGCCACAGCAAGCTTYAGTACACCAGCAGCCGCTAGATATGGGAATATGCGCCATTGCTACTAGAGAGATKGTGATTAATAAAATTTGTATAGGAAACATTTCATAATTAACACTTACCTGAAGCTGGTACTCAATTATCGGCACTTCCGGTCCATCTTTCTCGGGACCAAACTGCTTTCTCAGCGCTGCATAACGCACAGCAATTACAGCTGCACTGGCGAGAGTATTCGCCGATTCCTGCATAATGCCAATTCGACCCGCCGAAAAAGACTCTAAAGCAGCACCCAAAACCTTACCGGGCTCAGAAAAAACGCTTTCGTAAACACCTTCAGGTGTCACATCGCCAGTACGGTTCAGAAGGTTTTCACGTGGAATGCGATAGTTTGAAAACAACACAAAGCCATTGTCAATCCCATTCAGACCGATCTTTTCGCCGATATCACCAACTAACACACCTGGATATGCTTGCAAAGTTTTGGGGTCACGTATGGGTATTAGAAAACCATGAAGTCCATGATTTTCCCCATCAGCTGTGTATAAGTTGGCAAATGTCATCGCAATTGTGGCCGTTTTACCCAAATTACCAACCCAACACTTCGCCGCCTCAAAGTCTGGCGTATTTATTATGAACTCCTGCGTTWTTGGATCGTATGTAGCGGTGGTACGAATGCTTTTCGTGTTGCTACCATGCGCAACTTCTGTAATGGCCAAACATGTTATTAACTCACGATTCCACGCAGCGTCATAGTACTTCATGTGTCTTTCTGTGCCCATAGCGCGTATGGCGTTGTTAAAGAGCCCGACACCCAAGGCGATTTTTACTGACAAACTGGGGCAGTATGTGTGTAAAGCCTCATTTATGCTCATCAAATATTTGGTCTTTTCACCGAAACTTTTCTGTTCGATCTCTTTCGGTATGAGATTCAAGTGCGGCATGCGATTAACTTGCATTGCGCAAAGATGCTTCTGTTCGTCGGCAGAGAGTGTAGATTGTGGTTTGGAGAATAGTGGATCATTTTCAAGTATCTTCCATACTTTATACTGCAAAATAAACAACAAATTTTATGTTACGTTAGTTATTATGAAGACAACGTGAGATCACCTACCTTTATGCGTAAGTCCTGTTCCCTTTCGAATATCACTTTAAGCTGCTTCCAGTCGAACTTTGCGCAACCGCGATATCTACATAGTGGTCCTTTTGGAAGATCCGGAATGAATGTAGTGTCCGGGGTTTGACTCATATCTCCGACTTTTAAAGCTAGAATGAAGAAGAAAAATACAATGAGCAACAATATGAAAGTTTAAATACACCTTGTGGGACCATTTGAGGTAAGAACGACAGGCGCAAATCACAGCCAGCTGTATGATATGTATTGTATGTGTATGTATATGTATGTATAGTATATATTTGAAATCTGAAACCATTGGCAAACTTAAAAGTGCTATATATCGACGGCGAATAACTCTGAGGTAAACAACCTCTGTTTAGTTTAGAGACACGCCTAGCTCACGCTTTCACACACATTTGTAAGTGCTCACAAAGGAGACCGTTTACATATGTGGTTCGGCGAATTTAAACACGTTATTATTATACAAATTCAATGGACTTTGCTTGAACTGATTGCAATTTGATTATCATCAATTGGATTCAATAAACTTAGCGATCAAGAATGATTGCCTGGAACTCAGCAATGGTACAAACATTGCTGGTGTACTTTCTAAATCAAATAATGTTAGGTGAACTAAAATCTGTGGATCTGAGTTTGAATTCAAACGTTTCGCGAATTGTTTTTAAGAAACGGAATAGTTTGACCGTCAAAATATTCCGCTTGTTGGTAAGAAATAAGAGTCAATGATGGTTTACCGCAAACGTTGGCGCGTTTTTAAACCATAACATCATGTCTAGATCGCAGAAAAAAATATTTCCCAAATAATCCACAGCGATTAGAATTACACTGGGCATAAAATACAGTGCAATCTGTCAAAACTTAGTTTATACTTACAATAGAAGTATAACATTAAATAAAATGAGATAATTTGTAGTCCTTAGAAATCATTAGATAAGTTAAAATATATTTATAAATTGTATAATCCACTGGATTATGGCTGGATTGAATCGCCTTTCAAGAAGCTTTTAGCAAGAGTTAATTTTATTTTTCCAACAAAAGTATGCTCATATACATATATGGACTGAAATATAATACTAATTAAAATGAATGTAAAGGTTTCGTGAGTGGATAAGAGGATGTTAATGTGGTCGTCCTTTGTTTCCAACAAGACGGTTCTACATAAGCATTATCTCGCATAGTGGGCCTGTTTTCTTAGGGTTGTGAGAATGCGTCTATGTAGATAAGTCCGAGAAGTGTGATATCTTGGAAGTGGATATTCGGCGCGATATTGTTGATATGTCCCAATTGCCCGAACTAATTTTTTAATAATAAAGACATACCCTTATATTTATAATAAAGCTAATTTCTTGTTCGCGACATTCAATCATATGCCTTTTATTTCTTCTTAAAAACCATACCATACTTTCAAACAAAGATACCATTTATAATTGAATAATGTTTAAAGATATTTGAAAAAAAAATTTTATTTGAATGTACTAATGATATAGCTATCTATTTTAAAGTTAACAAGATCAATTACATTTTCCTTGTTCCAAAAGAGTAGAACAATATCCCGGGAGTCATTTGTCTATATTGTTACCCCAAGGCTAACTTGTTTCATTGAAATAACGCCATTTTGACACCTAACCGATTACATCGATTTTAAGAAGAAGAACAATAAAAATGTCTTTCTTAAAATTACTAACTGTCACTGGGATAAGAGAAGCAATGTGCTCGCTATGGGAATTCCGATGAATTTTCACCTTCTTCCAGCTAGTATAGTCAGACTCCACTGTATATATACATACAAATATCTAGACAAGACTATATACATATATATCCTTTGAAATAGTGCTTCTAATAAATCTGTACATATAATTGTCTACTGAAGAAGAAGTATCAAAAATTTAACCGATAGTCGTATTTAGTTTGTATCCAGGTATCCAGGTCAGATATGTGAAACATATCAAAGAATTAAAGCGTCCCGACTTTTTAAAATATTTTATATGAGTACTTACGTATGTGTGCCACATCTCGAATATGTTCATATTATATTCTGAATACCACAAACAACAGCAAATTTTCCTGACCTACCAACCTCTATTCTTGACAAATTGATTTTTTTGTTGCAAACGAGTTCAACGCTGCAAGGTAAATAAAGTGGTTGTTCACTTTCGAATTCTAAAGCCAGCTTATTTTAACAATGGGGTACTTTAAGTATACACACACGCTCATATCCACGTTAATATAATATGTAAGATCGTATGTTTTAAAATCAGCATATTTGTTGTCATAAGACGATTAGATACAACAGTATTTTCAAGTAAACAAATCTTAATGAAGACACATGGACATGCCACTTAGAGTCCAAGTTTGTCAACAATATAAAGACTTTGAAAATTTTTTGACAATATAAAGACTTTGATTTTTTTGGGAGTATAATTTTTTAAATGACGGCCAACGCTTTCATCAGACACAGATTAGTCTGCTGAAGAGCATGAAACTCACAACCTTTATTAAATCTAGTCGAGTCAGAGAACGGTTTTAGTTCTACGTTAAAGAATAAACGTAAGACATACGAGTATATTACAAAACATAAATGTGATCAGTTGTTATCAGGCGTTTACTAGAACTCCCTCCTCAATGAACATATCTCTCTGTGGACGTTATGCATATACGTGACTGATAATGATAAAACCAATGTGAACTAAATCTATTAAACTTTCATCCAAAATATTTTTATTTATTCGATATGAGTTTACGTAAATGCGAGTCATTTAAGACGTTTATTGATACACATGTACTCGTCGATATCAGTACTTATGTATTTAAAGTACTTGTATGAGAACTATATACATATGTACTTTAAAGTTCTGCAACAAGTTTTAATTAGAATGTTGAAATGTCAGTCAAGATTAGGCCCTGTGTGTAATGAATATATCAGTGTTACCATACTCTAAAGCAATTTACGAACGTATCGAAAAGTCTTCCTTGTCTATCAAATGTTTTATCGTTCTTAAAATCGCTAATCAATAAGATTTTTAGGGTTAAAAATCCCGCCAGCTCGTCAGCGTTATGTAAAGTGCTTACTAAATATAATTGTAATTATAACTTTCACAGTGAACCACATAGATTCGTGATAAACAACATTGAACGACAAAACTAAATCCTCGGCTATTTAGTCAGCACTCCAAAGTGACTCAATATCCCACCACTATACATATACGTAGTATATAAATATTACAGTATACAGATATTTTTGTTTTTAACTGAAAATGCACATTTAGAATATTTCAAGCAAAAAACCAACATTAACCGTTTAATTGTTCTAATTACTTTTTATTTAATTGATAAGCAAAGGTATATGGCTCTATTAACGTTTCGAAGTAGTAAATATATTTTTTCCACTTCATAACTTCATAAACGTTAATTATAAAGGAGTAATCACAGTTACCAATTGGAGGGTTTGTGATTCTTTGAATGCAAGTTAGCAAGGGCGTACTGTATGACGAAAAAGATGATAAATGAATGGACCCGTTATGAAAATTCTCAAACGAACATATACAAGACAAAAAGACTTAAGCATGAATATTTCATATTAACGATTTCAGAATTTCTCTTATTCCAAGCAGCAAATTCTAAGTAATACACTAAGTTTATCAGAAAAATATATTGCTGTTATGATAAAATAATAATCTGAGTCTACCGGTCGAAATCCGAAAGGGAATATGTGAACAAATCATTTGAATCATTTTCCTTTAAAGTAATTAGTGACAACTTTCAGAATACTAGGTCACAACATCTTGATAACTTTATATCACGGTTTCGCATGACATTGTTTGTTACTAGTCACTAATTGAAATAAGTTCAATTCTTATTCCTGGCCAAAAAGTTAAAGGTTTATTTTTTATTACAGCGGACAACACTATAACTTTTCAAGTTGTCATGTACATATGTATGGGACGGAAATTTTTAAGCAAAGAAACAATTAAGCCATAACAATAGGGGAAAAGGTTTATGTTGTCGACAAGTGTTGGAGAGTAGCCAGTCGAACAAACTGTCCTTTGATAAATGCACGATTCTTTCTTGAAATAGAAATTCTTATTTCCTTTGTGTTTTGTTTTTCTTTTTTGTTATTTAAGCCATTCACAACAGTAAAATTTATATAAAATATGCAAAACAAAACGAGGTAGCATTAAGGTTAGCAGTTATACCACTTTAATGCGGAATCCGCATACTCCCTTGTACGAATTCAATTCAATAACTTTGTTGTTTCCTTTATACTTATTTTTTTTTTTTTTTACAAGAACGCTGATAACGTTTAGAAACGTTTTTACTATTGTGAAAGATTTAAAGATGAAATAATGAGTGTATAAATGTTTTGTTAGGTACTATTTATATATCAGGCATGAATGCTGTTTTGGATTTATCAAATGATATTAGATGCGGAATTAAGAATTCTTTCATGAAAGTAACAAACGAAATGCACATGTGTATGTTACAAGAAATGTAACACAATGTTGCACCGTAAGTGTTAAGTGGATACTTGTTGCGAAAATTAAAACAAATATAAAGTTTGGGTGCATTAATTGACCCGTGCCTTAACACTGATTTTATTCATTTTATATGTTTGTGAGTGTTATGTACACTTGTAATTAGTGTTTTGGCACATGGCGCAATCTAAGCATGCAAGGGTGTATAAAAGTACGTGTGATGTGCTGAACACAATACCCGCGACAGACTGCAGCAGCACGACAGTGAACTGAAAATTGCGTTGTGAATCGTACTACATGAATATTTGTGAGAAGGCAGCAACATAACAATAATAAGCTGTCAAAATAGCTGTGTCCATARGAACGTGTGTATTTTAATATTTGACATATTGTTTGCAGTCTGTCGCGGTCACTGTGTTCAGTACATGACGGTCTAGCGCGTATTGACAAACAAATATTTATTGATATTAAGTAAATATGACTCTGTGCCCTTACATAAATGTATGTACGTAAGTGAATATATAAATATACACTGATTTACTGATGGCGAAGCTGATAACGCGGTGTGAGTCTAAGAGTTTATTTTCGTTTAAAAATAATTGCTTTTATATACCCATTAAGCCATATAGATACGTGTGTTTATATAAATTAGCAGT